GACATAGTGAAAATACACCTTAAGAGTGTGGTTAAAGTGCTAAGCACAATACCACTCTGCAGCCCATTTATGACCTTGTATAGAAATGCTATAACAGAAACGCATGGGGCCCTTCAGGTGACTGTGTTGATTTATTTATTTTTTTTTGTAACAGGAAATGAAATATACTTCATAATATCATTTGCAAGATATAATCAAAAGTGTCATATGTTTACAAGAAGAAGTGCAGAACTTCTGTAAAGGTTTCTGGCATAAAATACAGTAAGTGCATTCATCTGTCCTTTGATTGCTCTTCAAGTGCATTACCAAAATATGTTGATCAAACACCAAACTCGAGCTTAAGAACTTAAGTCTCATGGTATCAGAAATACAACTCTTTTTTTTTTTTTTTTACAGCTTGTTCCGGAAGTCTATAGAAATCATCTTGCATTGCTCTACAAAAAGTAGAATAAAGCAGAAATAGTTCAGACTAGCAGCAAAAGACTTCATAGACTCCAATGTGCATCTAATGAGCAGAGGTCAAGTCTCAGTTGAGCAGAACTAGTATGACTGTAGAAAAATAAAAATTTGAGACCCATGCTGTTACTTGGGTGCCTGTTTTCATCTAACAGAGAAGAGAGTCTGTATTGAAAGTGTTTAAAGCACTAAAGTATAATATAATACATAACAGTAATAGCTCATCTTTAACTAATCTTTGCTAAAATTTAATGCTCCGTCATTTACAGTCATGGATGTGATTAAACTCATAACATTAAAACTGAAATTACTCAGCTACTGTAATGATGTAAGTTATTGCCATGCCAAAGAAAAACTCTAGATACCTTGGTACCTATTGCAGAAAAGAACTGACCAAACATCCTTTTACACTTTGGTAAATTCCCAATCAAAGACATTTTTTAACGCAGCAACATGTCAACCTCTCCTTGGGTTAAGTCAACATAAAACTTTTTAACACTTTTTAGAAAGGAATTTGGTTTTTAATCTGAAGCCAAAGGTATAAAAAAGATTGTTGCATAACTTGTAAGATAATCATAGATCTGCAACCTTGTCAACTGCCACTCTAAGTATTTAAAGTAAAAATTTTGTGACTTTGGACCTATTTTAATTCTTATTTAGATCTTAAATTTGTGTTCTGTAAGTATCTAAAAATTAAGTCCTAATGAGTAGATTTGCTTAACACTTATTAATTTGGGCATAAAGCAGCATTATCAGTCAGTATGTGTTGTGTCCAGTGTTCTGTTGACATCTTGGCATATTTACTTTTGAGGCAGTAGCTAAGAAGAATATTTTAAGAAATAAAATATACAATGGTTTTAGAGGTACACATGGTAAATATATTTAATTGCATCAACAATTAAATATATATACAATCTTACATCAAAATCATTTAATAGGAAAAACAATGAACTTTTAATATTAAAATCAATTCAGTGGGTAAAATCATTCAATGCTAGAAAACAATTAAAAGGGGCTTAATTGTTTGCACCCATGTTCTCAATGCTGTCTGCTTTTCCCATGCTAAAACATACGATAATATGCAATCTTAGTTTTCTGGTAAATGATAAAAGACTAATTAGGAGAAAAGGTCCATGGTATCAAAATCCTTCATAGTACTTTTCTTTGAGGAGTACGGGTAGTTTACTCAGGATTTACACAAAACAATAAGTATCTGATGCCTGGAAACACAATTTTAGTCTCATTTGACCAAAGCAAAAAGTTTGAGTCAAAAACCAGCAGTGTTTATATTTACAATGGAGGACAGCATTATTTTGTTTCATCCTCCTCAAACAGCTCATTAGCATGAAGGCAGAGTCTAAAGGTTGTTGTGGCTGTTTTAACCCGAAAACTCATTTTTTCCCCCTAACTTAACTTTTGAATATTTCCTTTACCTCACTTACCATCCTGCTCATTGTTCATGTGAGCAATATAAGCATGGTTCTTATCCAGCCTCGTGGCCAGGGTATAAGAGAAATGGGCTTCTGTACATTAAAAGTTCTTTGTTCGTTCTCATTAATTTTCATCAATTAAACCATGCAGAAGGTGAACCTGGTATTTTACAGCAATCCTATATAAGCTTTTTTTATCCCAAGTCTTGGTTAAAAAGCTTATAACGAAGGAAGATTTTTTCGTCTTCCAGCTGAGAACTGTCACACTATTGTATATTTCCTCAGGTTTGCAAACAAACTGTTTCTTGGATGAGTAAGTATCCAGCTGTTGGTCCAAAGAGCAGACCTATGTGATAAAACTCAGGATGACAGAGTCATCAGCTTGAGAAACAGACGGACTGAAGAATAACACAAACAGGATACCCAATGCAGTAGATGTCAGCTGATCAAGAACCGGAAACAAACACTTAACAGGGGACAAACTGAAATCTGCAGACTTATTTAAAAAACGTATCCATTTTATATACTATTTAAGGGGGCTTAAAGAAATATATTAGAGGGTGTCTATCATCAATTTCCACCAACGTGTAAGCTTTGTGCAGTCTGTACAAAACCGTTTTCCAGAAAAGAAAATGTTTCCACTTCATTCTCAGACATTTACCTCAGTTCAGGCAGTGTCTCTGGTGTCCTTCATTCCACACACGTCAGCTTCATCAGGCACTTTTCACTTCTAGAACACATGGTTTGCTCACCACTTTTTAGAAAAAAAAATGCTTGTGTTTCACAGTGCAGCATGTACTGTTCAAATGAAACTTGCAGCCTAGGCAGCTTCTTTTTTTTTTTTTTACCTCTGACTATTTGTAATTATGGAGTCATCGTAGTTACGCAAGGCCTCAAATTGAAGTTAACCACTAGAGCCCCGATCCTAATTTCATGTTGACCGCCAATCCACAACTGGCTTTTTAAAACAAGTAAGGACATCTCTTTTTTTCCCTAAAACATTTTATTGTCTGTAAACATGATCAGATCATAAATTTCAGCAACATAGTCTAACTCAAACCAATCCATGTAGAAGCATCTACTTTATTTTTTTTACCAGAAATCCCAGAATATAAGGTTTTATGTCCAGCTTCTGTAGTCTCGTTGTCCTTTGTATGAATTTACCATTCTCTTAGTTTTCACATGCTCTCTTGCATAAAACAACACAGGCCTCATACTTTAGGCAGCTCAGAGGTCAAAGAGAGCAGTTATCTGGCTAAGAGGGACACTAAAAACTTATGGGAAAAGAAGTTAAATATTTTAACTACAGCAGTACAGAGTTATGAAAACACTGACATTAAACCACTTCTTTAAGTGAAGTAATAAAATGTCTTTTTTGAAAGGGAAACTGCAGCAATAGCTTGCATGATTAAATAAAACTCTGTTTTTATGCTATATTAATGGTTAATTTGAGAGCTTCAACCAAGGAAAGATTCCATTTTGTAGTGGAAGAGCCATTGGGAGTTTATTACGAAAAAAAAGTCTAATCTAAAAACAAACATACAAAGCTAGGAAAAATAACTGATGAAAGTACAGAGTGTTTTGCAAAAGTGTTTATTTAAATAACATCCTTATATTCAATTCAAATCACAACCACATGCATTAATGAATTTTATTGGAGTCTAATGTGATAAATCTGCACAGAATATTGTTCAGTTGTGGAGCAGTAGGAAAATTAAACAAAGTTTTAAAGCTTTATTTAACTGAAAAAGGCCACATAAATCTATTTTTCACCCCTCTTTACTCTGAACCCTTTGAATAAAATCTGAGTTGTCTGAGCTGCTCTCACTCTGTATGATTAAAAGGTGAGGAATAAAGAGAAGTGCTTTAGTTATAAAAACTGATCAACACCTTGAAAATCACACTGAACACTGTTCCTCTGCACAAAAGCCGACTTACCTCATACCACTAATATACGATCATACATGCAAAAAAAGGTTTAGATAAAAGCAAATAAATTTGTTAGAATGATCCAGTCAAAATTCATACTTAAATCCATTTAAACCTCTGTGCTAAGACTAAAAATGTAACTGGGTGTGAATTACTCCTCAGGTAGTAAAATATATTAAATAAAAAAAATTTGTATGTTGTAGTAAGAGGGATAAGAGAAAATTGTGTTTAAATAAAACACAAACTATAGTGGTCAGTTTGATAAAGTAGCTTAAAATGATAACAAATATTTATAAGTAAGCTTCAGAGTTTACTCTGTTTCTGGTAATACAACTGTATCTTTGTATCTAAGTTTGGTTCTAATTCGTAACATTATTACTGAAGGTAAAAAAAAAAGGTTGGAACTTGACGAAAAGCCAAAAAAATACTTGCCAGCAGAAATTTTGGGTATGCCAGAATCTAATTTTGGCCACCACACGGAGCCAGTGGACCTAATAATAGTGTGCAGGAGGAATGAGCTTTGGTTATGAGGTAATATGATGGATGTGAGGAATTCAGGTCAGAGCTCCAGTTTGTTTCCCAATTTCAGGTTAAGAGAAGGAAACTTTGAGGACCCCAGGAGAGATACAGTAGATCTGAATCTTTCCAGGGAAGGAAAAGAAAAGAGACATCCAACTGTCCTCCTGCCAAGTGCAACTGTATTTCACTGCTACAGCTTGTCAACATCTGTTCTAAAGTCCTAATGTTTTTGATCCCTGAAATCTCAATGACTAAAGTTAAGATTGCAAAGGCAAGGACATAAATCTTTACAAAAAAGAAGAACATTTGAATAAAACCATCCAGGTGAATTGCTATTGCATAACAAAAGCCAGAAACACACATCCCGTACAGCCATAAACATACTTTATATCACAGCATTCAGATTATTAAAATGTGAGCAAAATATTTTTCCTTATAGTGACCATAAAAAATAGATGTTTTACCAAGTTGTAGAGGTGCTGGATTTGCTTACAATAGATATATGTTTGATTAAGTTGCAAAGAATTATCAAGGACTCAATTTAAGGAGAGTAATCTCCATATTTAAAGATCCAAAAATGTTATTCTTCTGTGGGAAGCGCACAGATGAAATATATATTGTGTCTCCTGTGTTTTAGAAGCAGCAGAAATCATTGAAGTCCCTTACCATTTATCTGCTCCTGCAGCAACATGTTGCTGAACAGTGTATCCAAACTGGGCTTGCTTAGGACCTTTGATGATTCTTGGTGTCTTTATGTCAATATTGAAGCAGTCGTGGAACCCTTAAAAAAAAAGAAAAGTTTTATCATTAGATCATCAATGGTTCAACAGTTTGTAGAACAAGCTTATGCTACATTAATATAGTAGTTTTCTGCATGATTATATTCATCTCTCCTGGTGTTGTGGTTGACTCTTTGCCCAACCTTTCTCCCAAAATTTCTTCAGTTCATTAAGGTTTGAAGACATCGTTTCAGCACTGCTTTACATTCAAAGTAAAATCCTAGAAGTAGAAAGTGTGCATCACTGTTTCTTAACCCTAATCTTTTAAAGGTGTCCTAAAACACTTGATTCAAATATATGATTACCTTGGGATGCTATATAAAGCATCACTATGTAACCTTTCACCACTAGGAGCAAGTGGTGCTCCCTGCCTGTCAAGTGTAGTGCCCCTGAAAGTACCTCCTAGTACTGCACTGTTGGCTGTCCAGCTCATTATGAATAAATCAAATTGTAGCTCCTGACCCCTGTTCATAACTCCTATCCCTTCCAGCCTTCAGCCTTATGGACATCATGAGTGACTCTGGTCCAATTGGGAAGTTACTAAAATGGAGCAAATGGCTGAAGCTCTCCTTTGTAAAACCAAAACATATGAAGGTATGAACATCTGAAACACACAATAAATGTAGTAAATAATGTATGTTTGTGAGGTTAGCGTTCTGTTACGCAAAGGATTGTGGGCAGCTGTAAAGCTCCTACTTAGCAGGTAGGAACGCTGGGAGGTCTCTATGCTAAAAGCATAAAAGCATCCTTCCTCTTCCTATCTCCTTTTGGATTGCACTTATTATGAAAACGTCTAACAAACTTAAAGAATAACTGAGAAGTCATGAAGTTCCTTGTAAAGACATTTACTCCTCTACATCAGGAATGTCAAAATTAGGTATTAATGGTATTCTGCAATCTTTAGATATCTTCCTGGTCCAACACTCTAATTAGATGGCTTAATTAATTCTATGTTTGAATCAAGTGAGCTGAAGCAGAGACACATCTAAATGTGACCAACGGCCCTCGGAATGATAACTGCTATCCCTGCTCTAGAACCAAAAGAGTCATTTCTGTTGTTTTGGAAAACATTTTTTAGCTTAGTTAGCTCTCATGTTTAAAGGGAGTTTAGACTGCCATACAATGGAGCTTTAGGTCACATGACCCATTCACAGACATTCAGAACCTCTCAAGTCTGATTTTGAGGAGAGCAGACTATTCTGAGTATTAATGCTTAATATAATCTCAATGTCAGCTAATAGTTAAACTTTACATAATGCTGCTTTAAGTTTTGTCGATTCATGTTACGGTGTGTGACTGCAGAGGACTATCAAAAGCAGGCATTCCAAAAGATTTCCAGCCTTGACCCCAAAAATATCAGTGCCCTGGGCTGGTGAACCCCCTAAGATTAAATATTTGGACATAAAAATCAAATTTATTATCGTTTATTATTTTAATTCATTTCATTGCACATTCAACTCCTTATACCCCTGGGATCACATCATCACATCATCATCTCACAATATCAGGGTTTAGAAACCACCTCATCTAAATATAATTCCAAAAATATTAGCTTGAGCCATTAAAGTTTATATCTGCTGAAAAGAAAACATGAGCGAAATAAATCACAAAATGAAACACCTTGATGCATTTGTTTTCATCTTGATAGATTAAATATACATCAATTTGTCAAAGTGGATTAATTAAGACATACTTTAGTATGGACTTGATTAAAGTGAATATATATTTTTTCCATCTGTGTATTATGTGTCTCCTTTGTCACTTTGATATTTCCCAAGTAAGGCGTTGGCCATATGCTTTTGATTAAATACCAGACAAAGAAAAAAATGTCCCCATTTTTATAGCTTTGTTAATGATAATGACATCATTTCACTTTTACCTACTGAAAAAGAGAAACATATATGCGGTTACAACAAAATATTTCTCACTACGTTTCCATCTAGATTAACCTTAGGTGTTGACTTTTCTGAAGTTTCCAGCTCCTGTGAGTACAGTATACTTGTGCTCAGTGATGGACAGTGGTCTATTTTTAAGGAAAACTAAAATAAAAGAGTTTTCTAACTAAGTTGCACTGAAAATATGGAGGCTTCTGCTTTTATCTCTGTGGCTCTACACTATTCTCTGCTTATTGAATCTCTTAGCATTACGCTAAACATCCTCACTTACAATCAATTCAATCCCCTCTGATTATGTTACAGCTTTTCCTCTTCAAGCGGAAACTTAAGAGGCGAAGAAAATCTCAGCAAAGCTTGGAGACATGTTACAGATTCAACTACAATGGATAAGAGAGCAGATTAAATGAGCAACGGGAGAACCAACATTATCTCTGTTACCAACCATGACAGCAAATCAGGATTTGTTTCACCTTGAGTCCAACTTCCTCCTTCTGAACAAATTTTCTAAAATGTGCTCCTGATGTTTAAAACGGAGGAAGGAAAAATAATCAATTTGTCTTAACCTAATTTGGATGTAACAGGATGATGTTGATATAATGGCATTTAAATTGGGGAAAGGATGTAGGCAAATTGATGCCACATCACTGTTCAAGGTGTCAGTGCTTCCTGAAATCCTTTTTTGTTACAATCATAGTTAGAAAAAAAATAGTAATAACATCTGTCAGCAAATGGTTTTGCTATATCTATGTTATTGTATTCAGTAAATTCTGAAATCTTTTAATTTGATAGCACGTCTATACAATCACTAACATTCTCTTTTTTAACAAAGCAAAACTCCAAATTACATGTATAAAAAACTAAATATATATTTATTTTTTTGTGCTCTGTTTACTTGTTTATTGATTAAAAGGGTTGGTTAGTATTCAAACAAAATCAAAGAAAATCAGATTTGGTTACATTGAGATAGATAACTACTGCAAAAGCGCTGTCTCCCCTTTAAACTTTACACATTCTGTAAATTGTGATGCGTTTTACTGTGATTGATATAGTGGATATGGTATAATTAATTAGTGGAAGGAAAAGGAAGCGCAATTTTCAAAACATATAACCGATAAAAACCTGAAAAGTTTGATAAGTATGTGTATTCGAATTCTCTGCTTGGTAGAGCGACCATGTCTTGCAGTTAAATTGGCAACTCTTTTTTGGTTTGTTTCCTTGCTTTTCACACTGAGAGACTGATTCATTCTTCTATGTATAAAAGCTCATGTTAAGTCTGTATAAATGGGGAGGATCTGTAAACATAAATTTTCTTCTTTTGCCACAGATTGTCAAATAGATTTAGATCTGGACTTTGACTGGAGCGACTGTCCTGTAACTCCAATACACCTCAAATGGATGATTCCCTCATCAGCAAGTAATTCAGCGCTGCAGACACCTGGTAGAAGAAATGGGCCATTAGTTTAGATAGTTAGATACTCCAGATCTAAACTATTCAGTGGAGCTCTGGTTGAAAGCTCAGGATAAGATGATTGTCCTCAAGTAAAGTAAATGTCCTCCTCTTTCTTAGGCCGCATCCATTTCCCCATCAACTTTGACCAGCTTCCCTCCCAGAATAAAAGCCTTCCCACAGCATGATACCACCGACTTGACCACCGACATTAGTCACTGCCTGGATACTGTTTTAGGCTGATGCACAATGGAGATTAAATACAATATATAGCAGGTATCCCCAAAGTCGGTCCTCGAGAGTCGCTGTCCTGCAGGTTTTAGAGGTTTCCTTGCTCCAGCACAACTGCAATCATCTAAACTGCTAATCTGCAATCTGCTAAACTGCAATCATCATAATCAGCTGTGCTAAAGCAGGGAAACCTCTAAAACCTGAAGGACAGCGGCCCTCAAAGACCGACTTTAGGAATGCTTGACATATAGGGTTCTAAATGTAAGACAAAAAAATTTGAGTTACTCTTTTGCTGCATTCCCAACATGGTTTACGACAATATGTAAATAAGACTTCTTGTAGTTTCTTTTCCCTAGAATGACCTTTGTGACACACTTGCATAAAAGCCTTTGTCTGAGTGAATGGTAAACAATTATTTTGTTGAAAAAGTCTTCCCTCTATGCTTGTTCTCAGGAGCCCCTCCAGATTAACTCTCTGTGGATGCTCACGTCTTGTTAGATTTACAGTTGTTTTATTCTTTTGCCATTTCTGCATTTATTGAACAGCGCTCTGTGAAATGTTCTTGGCTTGGGAAAGTTTTTAAAACCTGACTTCTTCCCAGCTTTATCTATGACCTGTCAGCTGTGTTTCTTTTGAAGCCTTAAATAGGATTAAGCAGATGCAAAAGAAAGTACTTCTGGTTTCACTGGATGCATTTTTTCCCTTTTAGTGAGATTATACATTTGTTGCATTCATGACATTTTTTGAGTTTTTTTTACAGATCTGTTTTTATAGCATGCCACTGATTTCTGTCTCGTTGCTAGAGTTCTTTGTTTGGCATCACTGCGGGCCATGACAAGTAATAATCAAAATCTGGATAATGTGGCTAATTAAAGTATGACACAAGTTAACAAAAAAAAAATTAAAAGTACATAAAGATAGTTACAAATGCCTATTAAAAGCATCTGTAATTCATAATGTTATTTATCAAATACTTTAGATGTGCAACATTATGCAAAGCCGCTGCTCTTCCTTGTTTATTAGTGGATGACATTTATTTGTTTCTTTGTGCAGCTGTTGGCATTTTAAATGCAGATCATGATTACTCTGCAGCTGTGTTCCTTGAAGGAAAATGGCTTGTACACAGAAAAGGGAAATTGCCTGCATTCCTCAGATAGGGAATGTTTAGGATGGCAAATAAGCTGTCCAAACACACAACAAAGTATGTATATCTACTTCTGGTTCTTTGCATGCATTTGTAAATTCAAGGACAAAACCAAGACTTTTGTGATTGCAATCAATGTCAAAACAGTCTTTACCACAACTACACAGCAGCTATTATGTGACGGGGCTGACAGTCTGTTATTTTTTTTCTTTATCACTCCACCACACCTTGATTGCTATTATCAGTGGCCATTTGTTCTGGATCATGAAATCTCTAAGATAAATA